TCAAAACACGCACTCGTATCATAGACTCAAAACACGCACTCGTATCATAGACTCAAAACACGTACTCGTATCATAGACTCAAAACACGCACTCGTATCATAGACCCAAAACACCTACTCGTATCATAGACCCAAAACACCTACTCGTATCATAGACCCAAAACACCTACTCGTATCATAGACTCAAAACACGTACTCGTATCATAGACTCAAAACACGTACTCGTATCATAGACTCAAAACACGTACTCGTATCATAGACTCAAAACACCTACTCGTATCATAGACTCAAAACACGTACTCGTATCATAGACTCAAAACACCTACTCGTATCATAGACTCAAAACACGCACTCGTATCATACTCAAAACACGCACTCGTATCATAGACTCAAAACACGTACTCGTATCGTAGACTCAAAACACGTACCTGTATCGTAGACTCAAAACACGCACTCGTATCATAGACTCAAAACACGCACTCGTATCATAGACTCAAAACACGCACTCGTATCATAGACTCAAAACACGCACTCGTATCATAGACTCAAAACACTTACTCGTATCATAGACTCAAAACACGCACTCGTATCATAGACTCAAAACACGTACTCGTATCATAGACTCAAAACACGCACTCGTATCATAGACCCAAAACACCTACTCGTATCATAGACCCAAAACACCTACTCGTATCATAGACCCAAAACACCTACTCGTATCATAGACTCAAAACACGTACTCGTATCATAGACTCAAAACACGTACTCGTATCATAGACTCAAAACACGTACTCGTATCATAGACTCAAAACACCTACTCGTATCATAGACTCAAAACACGTACTCGTATCATAGACTCAAAACACCTACTCGTATCATAGACTCAAAACACGCACTCGTATCATACTCAAAACACGCACTCGTATCATAGACTCAAAACACGTACTCGTATCGTAGACTCAAAACACGTACCTGTATCGTAGACTCAAAACACGCACTCGTATCATAGACTCAAAACACGCACTCGTATCATAGACTCAAAACACGCACTCGTATCATAGACTCAAAACACGCACTCGTATCATAGACTCAAAACACTTACTCGTATCATAGACTCAAAACACGTACCCGTATCATAGACTCAAAACACGTACCCGTATCATAGACTCAAAACACGTACTCGTATCATAGACTCAAAACACCTACTCGTATCATAGACTCAAAACACGTACTCGTATCATAGACTCAAAACACGTACCCGTATCATAGACTCAAAACACGTACCCGTATCACAGACTCAAAACACCTACTCGTATCATAGACTCAAAACACGTACTCGTATCATAGACTCAAAACACGTACTCGTATCACAGACTCAAAACACCTACTCGTATCATAGACTCAAAACACGTACTCGTATCATAGACTCAAAACACGTACTCGTATCATAGACTCAAAACACGTACTCGTATCACAGACTCAAAACACCTACTCGTATCATAGAATCAAAACACGTACCCGTATCACAGACTCAAAACACGTAGTCGTATCATAGACCCAAAACACCTACTCGTATCATAGACTCAAAACACGTACTCGTATCATAGACTCAAAACACGTACTCGTATCACAGACTCAAAACACCTACTCGTATCATAGACTCAAAACACGTACTCGTATCATAGACCCAAAACACCTACTCGTATCATAGACCCAAAACACCTACTCGTATCATAGACCCAAAACACCTACTCGTATCATAGACTCAAAACACGCACTCGTATCATAGACTCAAAACACCTACTCGTATCATAGACTCAAAACACCTACTCGTATCATAGACCCAAAACACCTACTCGTATCATAGACTCAAAACACGTACTCGTATCATAGACTCAAAACACGTACTCGTATCATAGACCCAAAACACCTACTCGTATCATAGACTCAAAACACGTACTCGTATCATAGACTCAAAACACGTACCCGTATCATAGACTCAAAACACGTACCCGTATCACAGACTCAAAACACCTACTCGTATCATAGACTCAAAACACGTACTCGTATCATAGACTCAAAACACGTACTCGTATCACAGACTCAAAACACGTACTCGTATCATAGACTCAAAACACGTACTCGTATCATAGACTCAAAACACCTACTCGTATCATAGACTCAAAACACGTACTCGTATCATAGACTCAAAACACGTACCCGTATCATAGACTCAAAACACGTACCCGTATCACAGACTCAAAACACCTACTCGTATCATAGACTCAAAACACGTACTCGTATCATAGACTCAAAACACGTACTCGTATCACAGACTCAAAACACCTACTCGTATCATAGACTCAAAACACGTACTCGTATCATAGACTCAAAACACGTACCCGTATCACAGACTCAAAACACCTACTCGTATCATAGACTCAAAACACGTACTCGTATCATAGACTCAAAACACGTACTCGTATCACAGACTCAAAACACGTACTCGTATCACAGACTCAAAACACGTACTCGTATCATAGACTCAAAACACGTACTCGTATCACAGACTCAAAACACCTACTCGTATCATAGACTCAAAACACGTACTCGTATCACAGACTCAAAACACCTACTCGTATCATAGACTCAAAACACGTACCCGTATCACAGACTCAAAACACGTACTCGTATCATAGACTCAAAACACGTACTCGTATCACAGACTCAAAACACGTACTCGTATCATAGACTCAAAACACGTACTCGTATCACAGACTCAAAACACCTACTCGTATCATAGACTCAAAACACGTACCCGTATCACAGACTCAAAACACGTACTCGTATCATAGACCCAAAACACCTACTCGTATCATAGACTCAAAACACGTACTCGTATCATAGACTCAAAACACGTACTCGTATCATAGACTCAAAACACGTACTCGTATCATAGACTCAAAACACGTACTCGTATCATAGACTCAAAACACGTACTCGTATCATAGACTCAAAACACGTACTCGTATCATAGACTCAAAACACGTACTCGTATCACAGACTCAAAACACCTACTCGTATCAAAGACTCAAAACACGTACCCGTATCATAGACTCAAAACACGTACTCGTATCATAGACTCAAAACACCTACTCGTATCATAGACCCAAAACACCTACTCGTATCATAGACTCAAAACACGTACTCGTATCATAGACTCAAAACACGTACTCGTATCATAGACTCAAAACACGTACTCGTATCATAGACTCAAAACACGTACTCGTATCATAGACTCAAAACACCTACTCGTATCATAGACTCAAAACACGTACTCGTATCATAGACTCAAAACACGTACTCGTATCACAGACTCAAAACACCTACTCGTATCAAAGACTCAAAACACGTACCCGTATCATAGACTCAAAACACGTACTCGTATCATAGACTCAAAACACCTACTCGTATCATAGACCCAAAACACCTACTCGTATCATAGACTCAAAACACGTACCCGTATCACAGACTCAAAACACGTACTCGTATCATAGACTCAAAACACCTACTCGTATCATAGACTCAAAACACCTACTCGTATCATAGACTCAAAACACGTACTCGTATCATAGACTCAAAACACGTACTCGTATCATAGACTCAAAACACGTACTCGTATCACAGACTCAAAACACCTACTCGTATCATAGACTCAAAACACGTACCCGTATCACAGACTCAAAACACGTACTCGTATCATAGACCCAAAACACCTACTCGTATCATAGACTCAAAACACGTACTCGTATCATAGACTCAAAACACGTACTCGTATCATAGACTCAAAACACGTACTCGTATCATAGACTCAAAACACCTACTCGTATCATAGACTCAAAACACGTACTCGTATCATAGACTCAAAACACGTACTCGTATCACAGACTCAAAACACCTACTCGTATCAAAGACTCAAAACACGTACCCGTATCATAGACTCAAAACACGTACTCGTATCATAGACTCAAAACACCTACTCGTATCATAGACCCAAAACACCTACTCGTATCATAGACTCAAAACACGTACCCGTATCACAGACTCAAAACACGTACTCGTATCATAGACTCAAAACACCTACTCGTATCATAGACTCAAAACACCTACTCGTATCATAGACTCAAAACACGTACTCGTATCATAGACTCAAAACACGTACTCGTATCATAGACTCAAAACACGTACTCGTATCACAGACTCAAAACACCTACTCGTATCATAGACTCAAAACACGTACCCGTATCACAGACTCAAAACACGTACTCGTATCATAGACCCAAAACACCTACTCGTATCATAGACTCAAAACACGTACTCGTATCATAGACTCAAAACACGTACTCGTATCATAGACTCAAAACACGTACTCGTATCATAGACTCAAAACACGTACTCGTATCATAGACTCAAAACACGTACTCGTATCATAGACTCAAAACACGTACTCGTATCACAGACTCAAAACACCTACTCGTATCAAAGACTCAAAACACGTACCCGTATCATAGACTCAAAACACGTACTCGTATCATAGACTCAAAACACCTACTCGTATCATAGACCCAAAACACCTACTCGTATCATAGACTCAAAACACGTACTCGTATCATAGACTCAAAACACGTACTCGTATCATAGACTCAAAACACGTACTCGTATCATAGACTCAAAACACGTACTCGTATCATAGACTCAAAACACGTACTCGTATCATAGACTCAAAACACGTACCCGTATCATAGACTCAAAACACCTACTCGTATCATAGACTCAAAACACGTACTCGTATCATAGACTCAAAACACCTACTCGTATCATAGACCCAAAACACCTACTCGTATCATAGACTCAAAACACGTACTGCAATCCAGTACACGCTTTAAACACTGTATCTACAGCTTGTCAGAGTAATCACTGTAAGCGGTCTGATGTTTGCAGGTCGTCTCATCAGAATCCGGTGTTCACCAGTAGCTGTAAGTCTTCTGTTTCTCTTTATCCTGCTGTGGGTAAGTGTGTTGGCAGCCTGGCACTTTCTTTAACACCCGGTGGTGAAATAATCCTGTGTGCTTTCTCAGATCGGCTTGGGTCGGGTTCAAACTTTTTAAAACTACATTTCAATAATAGTTCATTTTATTAGGTCCATAGACGACAAAACAAACGAATATGCAACAATGAATAACAAGTTGCAGTATGTACTGTATGTGAGTGAGTTCCCATCAGAGGAGCATAATAAATCCAAGAGTGTGAGTGATTATCAGGGAATCTTCAACATGTTCGCCATTTAACATTAGTTTTGGATGGACTTTTTAGGAAGTTTACACTGAAAAATAATTGTTTCACAAGGGAAGCGAGACAACTTAGCGGCAGGTAGAACTCGGTTTACAGCACTACTTATTCATTTCTATGACATCCGTCAAAGTCAAACCGTAATCAAAGTCATGATCCAGTCGCAGCCTCATGTTTAATAGGGAAAAGTGGTGACAGGAAGGCAAAAAGTCAAACCATAATCAAAGGGCAAAACCCAGGAGAACAAAGGCAGATATGAGCCTTGACAGCCTTGAGTTTCTTGATAATACTATTAATTATTTGTCTGACGACGTCTCAGACAATTTCTCTAGTTTTCTTTCTTTTGTTCATGCTCTCAAACTGGTTGAACAAGTAAATAAGACTCAAAACCTCCCACTGTACTTGCTCAATCTATTTTAACCCTTTGATCCACAACTTGGGTCTAAATAGACCCGACTGAGTTTTCATTTTCTATATCTTTGCAAGAAATTAATTTCATCATTCAGTATTCCAGGTATTCCTCAATTAACTTGTTTTAGATCATTACAAATCCTTATTTAAATTTTTCCTTTCTTACTTTTCGAATAAAAATAGTTTTTGTTTCACTACCCTTCTGATGCGCAACATGGGTCTAAAAAGACCCGTATTCATGTTTCTTTGCTGAATATTTGAAAGAAATTTTATCATTATTTTATTTTATCATTTATTAATCCAGGTATTCATTAAATATCTTGTTTTTGATTTCCACAAATCACTATTTTTATTTTTCCTTTTCTTACTTTATAAACAAACACGTTTTTTGTATTTCTACATCACTTTTACACACATGGGTCAAAAATGACCCATATAGGAACCTTTGATATTTATAAATAGTATAAATATATTTACTGCAGAAAACTATTCACCTGCCACACATTTCTCAACACGGCTGCTTTTGTATATTTCATGCATGTAAGTTTTATTTAATACATTTTTTGTCACAGAAAATATTTGATATTTTCTGAAAGACATCTAGATATAGCCTAAAATTTGAACGTTTAGGCTAAGGTTACCTTGACCTTGAAATCCATTACTAGTGCAAAAGAGAAACATGTCCAATACTATTAGCTAGCTTGCGGTCGACATATTTTATTTTATCTAATGTTAGCTAGGTCAACAAAATAAAAGTTGCAATAGAAAGTTATATATATACAAGTATATATTGTCGCTGTTCGGCAGAAACCTTGTACCTCCATATTAATTTTTATTTGTGGTCATAAATCAATGCTATCGGTCACACAAGCCGGCGTGTGGTGGTGTTCTGGTGCACTATGGCTGCTGTCGCATCATCCGGGTGGATGCTGCACATTGGTGGTGGGGAGATCATTGGTGGTGGGTAGATCCCCCTACAGTTGCACTACACTACAGTTCAATTTCAGTGTTATCGGTTATATGTGTGTTATGCGTGACAAAGTGGCCAATAAACATATTTCAAGTGTTACAGTAAATGTGTTGATCTAAACAACTGTGACATTGGTTATTTTAACAAAGTTCTCTTTATTCTTTTGTTTTATCCAGCTTGCATAGATGGGTCATTTTAGACCCATGTGTGTAAACTTGATGTATTTAAACAAAACCTAGGAAATATTAAAATATGAATTTGTGATAATTGAAAACAAGATATTTTGAATATTCATAAATCATGAAATTTATAGATCATGAAATATAAAATGCTCAAATAAGGTGTTTTCAAAAGGTGAAACAAAAAAATGCAGAGCCATGCATGAAATAACATAGGAAATGAATACGGGTCTTTTTAGACCCATGTTGTGCATTTGAGGGGGTATCCATAGCTTGTGCATCAAAGGGTTAACTACTTTTTTAACCTGTTAAGTGTCACCCCCCCCCCCCCCCCTTTTTTTTTTATATACATGAAAATGCACATTTCGAACTTAAATGGTTGTAATTCAAGAATGCTTTGGAATATAGATCTAAGATTGGTCTCGTTTTAAAGACATTTGGCAGATTTTTGTAGAAACAGAAATAAAGTTATAGAAGTTTGAGTTTATGAAAGTGTACAATGTAAAAAAAAAAAATTATTCATTTTATATAAAATATATATTTTCAAAACCTGGGCGACTCTAAAACTGCAAAAAACCAAAGCCAAAAATCGGAACAAGTTGTTAAAAATTTTAGGTTGATATCTCAAAAAATGAGCTTTCAGTGAGAGTGTGTTTGGGCGCAGTACCGAACGCTTCCACTAGGGCACAGCCAGACTCCATTACTGCCCATATAAGGGCGCCTCCATTTCCATGTGTTTTGAGTGATCTGAATCATTATTTCCACAATTTTCATGCAATTTATGAAGTAGACATCCTATTCAGAAGTAGTATGGGAAGTTTGGCAGATTTTGATATGAATTCAACCTCTAAGAAACGCATAAAAAGAACAAGTATGTGCGTTATAACTCGCTGCCACATCACAAATGGTGAATCTATCATTTCTTTCTTTATATTAAAAAAAATTTCAGACCTTTTTTTTTTCTAAAATAATTGAATGGATGCTATCTTTTGAACTCTTGGCATGAAAACAAACTGAGGTTTCTACCCTTCTTTCATGATTTTTCATGTTCATCCCTATTTCAAAATAAAGGTCTGAACACGCCTTAGGAGTATGAAAATATTCTTGCTGCAAATTGATAAATTACAGCTCCTCTGAATATCAATCACCACATATGGAAACTAGAGATTGTAAGCTTTCAAATGATATATAGTTTGTCAAGATTAGTTTAGGTTTAGTATAGGATATTACTGTTTTAAAAATGTAATGGATTTGGGTACCTTAAGAAGGTGCTAATAACATAGTCTGGGCCATTTTAGCATTTTCTGTGAAATTATGATTTATTTGTGATAGTTTTTGTTCAGTTGCACACAGAAGAAACATGTGGATAGCAGTTTCTGGAAGAGACTGTGGATGATTTGAAAAAAAGTGCAAGGCTGCCAATATTTCGGGCCGTTATTGTAGACGCATGTCAATGAAAAGTAAAATGGTGTGTATTACATTTTGTTTCTTTGTGTTTGACTTCCTCCAGTCACGGATGACAGTGAAGAGTGGATGTATGAGGATGACTCCTTGTCTCTCTCTGCTGAAAACGCGTGAGCCTGAACTACGTTTCATAAACATGGCCTCAGTTCACCTGAACTTTACACAGATCTCTACACTCGTGTCTCTCTCTCTCTTTATCTGCAGGAGTCAGGTTAAAGCGGCCTCTATGCCTGAGATCTGTAAGTGTGCACTTCTGCTGTCTCAGCCTTGAGCTTTATGTACTTTATGTTTGTTTCTTCTCTCCTCAGTCGATAGCACCTCCTCTGCTCATCAGACGTTCAGTGACTGGAGCATTGAAGACGTCCACACACAGTGAGCTCCACACCACAGGGATATACTACAGCTGTAGAATCATGTGTTACTCTCCGGTCGGTCCACAGGATTGATTGAGGACACAAATATCCAGTAGTGATTAAGTGTTGTAGTGTTCATTAATCTGGAAAGGTCATACGTTAGACATGAAGCTCAAAAAGACTCTCCCAAAGTTATATGCTTTTATCGGGAATTCGATAGTTCCCTTTTCACATTCCACTAGCTATAAGTAACTACAAGTCTAGGTTCAGGTTAGTGGAATAAGTTGACATTTACTAGTATCTTTAAAGTGGACTATCAATATAAGGTGTTATTTTATTCATAGTTATACGTTTTATTGCAAATCATGTATAGTATATTTCTTTCTTTGAACATTTGCAACTTTTTTGTCAGCACTGATGATCTAAGTAAGTGATAGTAACTATTTCTTGTCCCATCGATTCCTTGCTAGTAATGATACTCATGCTATCGCTATTCTGTGTTTGAATCTGAGCTTGATATCTTTTAAAGAAATGCAGTGTGTGTGTGTGATAATGCCCCGTCTCTCTGTGTTCGTGACAGAGAGGCAGAACACTTCCAGTTTGCAGACGTTGATCTTCTGCCTCCTCCGGCACTTTACGCCGACTCTCTCTGAGCCTGTGGTGAGTTTTATCTGATCATTTGATGGGATATTCCTGTCAGCCACTGAACCATCAAAAAATTGAGTTGCGTATCTAACATTTTAGAAATACGCAAGTCTCTGACATAATTTTTTCTTGCTTCCACAGTGATGTTGATTTCACACCTCGATCATGACCATGGAAGCTGGCGTTAGGCTCTGGGCTTCAGTTTTACAGTTCGTCAGTCCTGTGTCTGAAGACTCGGTTTAACATTACAAATGCAAAGAGAAAAACTGTGGCATTTAATGAAAGTGAACACTTGAGGTTTGAAACGTTGGCACTGAGCGACGAGGGCTCGATCGAGGACGGATAACACAATGGCAGTTTAGGGGTTTTAATGAAACGAGGGTGTGGCACTTTGTCATATGAACTATTGAATGAATTGCAAAAGGATTGAGAGTAACTTGTGCATGTTATCGATTAATACACCTTTACTTTGCTTTTGTCGTTGTGCATCTCATTGTGTGGGAACTTTGGAAGTTGGTGGTTTGATTACATGTTTGTTTATAAATTAAAACATAACTTGTAAATGTTGGCGTGAAATAAATGGATCCAGCAGTGATTCTGACTTCTTTTTTTTCCTTTTTCTATTGAATGATGGTTGGAATGAATCTGTGATAAAACTGCATTATGAAGTGTGATAGTCTACTATAATTATACTAAAATTATTCTGTACTTCACTTTAAAAAATGAGTCTTATAATTTTCATTAATGTATTTGATGATTAAAAATAAATACATTTCATTAATGAAATTGGTTTAGTTTTTGATAGAACATATTGAAGATTTCCCAAATAAAACCAAGAGAGAAATTTTCCTCTTTTATCGAAGGAAATGTCTGCAATTTTGAGGCTTGATTTGAGGAATGAAATAAGCTAATAAAATGAAGGAAAACCACGTGTGTGAGTAAATGACGACACAATTTTCATTTTTGGCTGAACTATCCCTTAAAAGTAGATTAAAAGTTAAAATATAATTGCCCATTGTAACATTGTAAAAATATTTATTATCATAAATATTCCCTCTATTTATAAATTTCGCCGTTTTAAATACTCTCATTTGATGACTTTATTAATTTTTAGGGCGGCACTGTTTTTAAACCCATATGCACCATAATAATAATGATAATTTTTGACACACTGGAACATGAAAAAATAAACAAACAAAACTAACCGAGAATCTTCCGATTTTCTAAGCCCCGCCCATTAGGATCGCTCGCAGGAAGTTGGTGCGCACCGTATTACTTCCGGCAGAAACACGGAACAACAGTGTGAGTAAATGAATTACTGCAGCTGCAGATGAAACTGAACTGTAATGTTTTATATTGCAAGGTAAGGACACGATATAAAGGAACGTTAACATTATTTAGGTAATCTGAAAGCCAACACAAATTTTGTGATTGTCCTAAAGGCTTTTAAAATGTATGTTCGCAGGGGATGAGCCAGTGTCTGCATTCATACAGCATATGAATAAATCCCACTGATACTTCAGGTAATTTACCTTAATAACGAGAACATTCTGGTCATTTTAATCGCAATAATGTCTTCATTTCAATGCATTTGCTGTGGATGTCTCCTGCTGGTGTTTTAGTTGCCTAATCGACTCCCTTTCATTATTAGCTTTGACATCGTCATTTAATAGATTTATTAATACGTTATAATAATAACTTCAATCAAAAACATTATTGTAAGCATTACACGGACATATGGGTCAGTTACAGAGCTGTAACTCCTGAAACTGAGACCATATGAATCAAATCTGCAGAACACGATTATTATTATTATTATTAATGTGTGTTTTTCTTTCTTTAAAGCATTGGTTCACTATGTGGAAACATTGGACTGCAGCTTTTCGAGTCAAATTGCTTGTTTTCCCCTCAGTGGTTTTGTGTGTTGGTTTTAAACACGTGGAAATATAATGGTTTTAAACACCTTAATGAATTCTGTCCTTTAAACTAAATGTCCTATTTCAACATATTGTTTGCTATAAAACATTGCCATGCGAAGATGTCTTTTATTTCCTGGGCAATAAAGGTGAATAAACACCTTCTGTTGAAGACACTGTAAAGGCTATTATACTGTGTTTCCATATTCTTTAAGATGGAGATATTTGTTTCGCATTCATTAGGTGTGTATTGAAGCAGAGCAGTAGATCATCACCATGGGTCTGTTGTCTGACCCGAATCGCAGAAAAGCCCTGACCAACCTCTTGACCCGCCTCAACACACCCATATGGTACGTGTCTGCCAGCCAGACGAATGTATAATATGGTATTACGAAAGTAAAATTCTTGTTTCATTGAGTTTCTGTGTTGATTTGCCTTTGAAATGCTATGTCATCACTTCCTGTCCCACATGTGGTTCTCTTCGCTGTGTTTATTCAGTATGGTGTGCTACCTGGCGGCCATAGTGTGGTTCATGGGCCTGGCGTTCGAGCCCTTCACGCTGCGCACGTACATGTCGGAGAACGCCATGGGCTCCACCATGGTGGAGGAGCGCTTCTCCGCTGGGGAGCGAGCGCTGGCCACTGCCAAGGAGTTCGGCGCTCACAAGAGGAAGGCAGGGTGAGTCGATCATGGAGACCATCGCAGTGTCTGAGCAACACCAGTGCTTGCTGTATAATTATGCTTTTTTGGATGTCTCCTTTCGTGCAGTGTGTAATAGTGCTGTTTGTGACTGTAAAAGGTTGCAGAGTTTCAGAGCAAGAACTGACCATTGTTGATTTGACGCGGACTCTAAATGAGCCGATGTGTGTGTAGTGAGTGGGCGTAACTGGTGTGTGTGTGTGTGTGCAGAGGGATGCCGGTGGACTGGTTAGTGAAGACGATGCAGGCTCGAGGACTGGAGGTGTTCACCCAGAGCTTCTCCCGCAAGCTGCCGTTCCCCGACGAGAACAAGGAAAGATATGTGAGTCTATCACGGGCTTAACCCTAAATCATGCAAAATACCTGTACTGACTCTAAGCTGGGGTTTATTTGGGGAATATTATGCATTAAATAATTCGGTTACATTTCTTTTAATGTGTCCCTGTTACAGTGTAATTATAGATGTAAGAACTGAGTAATAATAATTAAATCCATGTACTTCCTATAGAGTTAGTTGCATGTAATTATGCCTGGGTTATAGTTATTACTATAGCAATTACATGTAACGTTTTTAACAAGGACACATTAATATAAAGTGTTACCAATAATTTTGTTACTTTTGTTTTTTTTTACATAACAAAAGGCAAGACTGGCATTGCTTTCATGTTTAGAGTCACACGAATGATTCAGTAATGAGGTATAAGGGAATATAAGCTGTTTTCCTGTGTGTTTTGTCCAGATGGTTCGAGGCACGAATGTGTACGGGATCCTGCGCGCTCCTCGAGCTCCTCGCACAGAGGCGCTCGTCATCAGCGCCCCCTGCAGTCCCGGACACAGCAACAACCAGGCGGTCGGCCTCCTGCTGGCGCTCGCGCAGTACTTCAGGAGTAAGACACCGCTCACACTGGGAGATATCTCAGGCCCTGGTTACACTCGCTATTTAGATGCGTTTTGGTGGATCGGATCACAAGTAGACGAGAGACACGTTCCCGTTCACACCTGGTGTTTAAATCCATCTCTTTTGTCCACTTTCACCCACTTCTCTCCTGATTTCTTCGAGGGGAGGGTCTATTGGCGGGTAAATGTGTGGGTTTCTTCAGATTTATCAGTCTAATGGACGAAATAAGCTCGACAATTCACACATGAACACGACCGTAGACGACAGAAACACACACAGAGCTTCAGCTTTAGTTTCTGCTCTGATAGTCTCAAGACCAGCCGAACGCTGTGAGTGTGTGTTAGAGATCAGGAATGGTGAGAAACATTGTGTTTGGGACGTTTTTCATCTTCAAACCAAACTTGGGTCGGAAGTGGACAAGCTCAAAACATGTAAACCCCGTTTACAGCTGTGTTTAGTGTCGTCCACTAGTGATCCGATTGACTGAAACGCATCCTAACACCAGCTGTAAACAGAGCCTGAGTGTCTGTGCTGATCTCAATGCCGCTGGGAAAGTGGGCGGGGCCTGTATGTGTATTCGGGCGCAGCCGGAAGTGGGCGGGGCTTAAGACGAAAGCCCATCGAATTACATGAGAAACCAGTTGTAAATGTAATCCTCTTCCCTCCATAGTTTACATTTAACAAGTATGCCTTTAATAACTAAATAAAATAATAAATAACATTTTTAAATTATTATATTTCTTTAAATATCTTCTAATTTAAACAATAATATGAAATGTTATATAAAAAGGGGATCAAAATCTTTCCTTTTAATTGGAACTTTGAATTACCGCCTTAAATAAGAGGACTTGATGTACAATAGCTGATCAGAGAACATGGACATATTCAGCTAAAACCATCTTTACTATACATGTAAATGCAAATCTGAACAGTTAAAAAAGGATACATAAATGTCGGCTCTTCGAGAGAGTGAGACGGAGAAATGTATCATATTGTACAAGGTTTATAACATTTAAATACACATCGAGTAGTAGATAATGTGCATGATGTAGTATTATATAGTATTTTAGTTGAGAAAGCTCTGATTTCTGACTGACTGACTGCACATGTTTCCCTTAATCTAATGAAAAGCATCAATATATTAAAAGCTTTTAGTTTTAGACGTAGACTGTCAAGAATAAAACGACTGCGATCGGCCCTAAAATATCCACATTTCTGTGATGCATTAAAAAAGAGACACTGAAACATGTGCTTAACTTTGAGAATGGTGTGTTTATCAGATTTATTGCACCACCTGGTGTTTGATTGGCACCAGTTTTTACATGAATCACTTCTTACACAGTATTTAGAAAATAGGGCATTTTGTTCAAGATATAATATAAAGGAATTAGGCCATTTACTGGGGAATTCAAAGTTTGATGTTTTTGGTAAATACGGTCTCCAAAAATCTCCCCGCACTTGTTCTGCAAAAAATAAATCAAGAAAATTATAAATAATTGTGGTTCCTATTTATGTTTGTGATTGTGCCACTAAGTGGCAAAGCCCTGCAAAATAATGTTGCGTTTGCATTGATAAACTAAAAATTGTCAAAATATCTACAATAATTACAGTTCAGCATGATTAATAATAGGATTAATAAGCTTTGATTGGGCAACCGTTCTAGGACTTTTTTTTGCCTATATATATGGTTGGTTTTCCCTAGATGGAAGTGAATTCTGAGAGAGAGATTTAGACTAGAAGTAAGTTTGCTTTAGGTGTAACACCCCCTGTTAAAATCACAATGTTCTGCAATGACGAGATTGATCTTCTTTTTTAAATAATTGACTGATCCACTTCTTCCCCAAAGACCAGGTTTACTGGGCCAAAGACATCATCTTCCTGGTGAACGAGCACGATCTGATCGGCATGCAGGCCTGGCTGGAGGGATACCACCACACCAACATTACAGGTGTGCACAGACACAGGCTTCATCTCATGAAACATTACCTCTTTTATAGGGGTGTGACGAAACGCTTATCCTCATGAGAACGAGACGAGATTTTTGCACAGAATTATAGAAATCCTCAATGACAAAATTCATAACTGGAATTGTCTGCATGTGGATTTTGAAATTTTTTAACTAATAATCGTGTAATGAATGTCATTTCCAGGGCCGTCGCTAGTGGGGTGAAAGGTGGTGACAATTATAGGGGCCCCCGCTGCCCAGGGGGCCCCCCAAAATCCAGCAGTTATACTATTTAGGCCCCTGTAGTATGAATAATTCTAATTTTTATATTAGTTGTATGCCTGAGATTTAAATGAAAACCACAAAAACGTGCAATTTGGGTAAATATTTTTCCAAATATCTGCTTCTCTTACCTCCATAAAAATGGTTTAGTCCGACCTAAAGTATGTATTAATTATTCAGTCAGAGTCAGTGACAAACATCAGATGGACCCAATAAAATTGTAAGTCCCGCCCCAGCTCGTGAACAGAACCAATCAGAGTTGAGGCGGCAGCCTGAAGTTAACGATGAACTTGGTGGAAGAGCAGGAGACTGACTGACTGAAAAATGTTGGGGAAAAGAAAACATAAATCAGGGAACCAGAAATGCCAGGAAAGGACGGAGAGGGAGGCAAGGAGAGTGGTTGTATCCCAGTCGATCAAGACGTTCTTAAAGACCGGTTTTATATTGTTATTTCGCTGGGAATTAGAAAACTTGTGTCTAAAGTCTGCCGTGTACAGCCATTTTTTATTATCGGTGCGCGCCACAATCGACCGAATGATTACCTGGTCTAAATTCCTGTCTTTTTACACTATTGTAACTAGAGTTTTAAAAAAAATTACACGAGTCACGACGCATTGCATTATGCATCTGACCTGCCGGGTGATGATATTTAAAACATCGAGAAAACACGAATACAACACACTGCACTTGGATGAATAAATGTATTCGCTTTATTTAATAATATTACCAGTTCCATATTATCTTTATTAAAAAATAAGACAATGAATGCTTTTATTTTTTTAATTAGACTGCATTCTTGTCAATTTTTTAAATGTTTACTTTTTGATTTATGAATTATAACAGACTGATGGGGAAAAAATTATTACTTTTTAAAAATTGGTTTTATTATTATTTAACAATTTCTTGCTTTTTTGTTAGTTTTTATTAGTTGTAATTTTTATATAAACATTTAACTTTTAAAATAAAGGTTTTACAACAACATCACCATCTTCTGTTATGTGGGCCTCCATGTTCATCTATTGTACAGTATATGATATTGGTGGAGGGTGGTGGGGGCCCACGTCAATATTTTTTCAGGGGGCCCCGAATCCTCTAGCTACGGCCCTGCTCATTTCAGTTCAGAATTATCAAATGCATTGAAAGACAACAATATACAAGCACTGTAAAAGGCTTTGCCACAAACCCTACTGACTGGCTTTTCTCCTGTATGATTTAACATGAGTCTTATGGAGGATGTTTAATAGATAAGATAGTAAACTATCTTCAGAACTAATATTGTTTCTGACTCTAAAAATCTGACCTTTAGATGATCTAACCTTATGATAAACTTTCACCCTACTTCCCCTTTGGGTATAATATTATGACCAAATCTTACCTTACTTCCCTTTTAGGCATCCTAACATTTGAACAAAATGTAGTTTTCGAAACTAGTGAAAACTCATGACTTTGGTTGTAAAAATTACAAATATGGGAAATGTAACTAGACCGATGTCCAACCTTGAAACCTTTTGGTTACCTGGTTACAAGAGGGCTTGTCTATGAAGAGCCAATCAAGGTGTGTCATTTTGCCATACCCCTATTCTAAAAAAACTGTTGTGTTCATGTTTACTGGAGGGATTCTCAATGGGTTTTGTCTAGGGCTGGGTATCGATTCAGATGTTCAAATTCGATTCGATTTCGATTCACAAGCTCACAGTTCGATTCGATTTTCGATTCGATTTCGATTCTCGATTAGACTATAATGAATATAGATGTAATACAAATCTCAGTCTAAATATCAGTTATCATTTTTTAGACAATTTATTATTACATTGATCTCACCTAAATGTTTGTTTTTACAATGGGGTAATTTTTTTGTTAAGAGTTTATGCAACACATGGAAGCTTGATTTCAATCTTTGAATTAAATTGAAAAAAGTAGCACAAATAAATACAATAGAATAAAGACACAAATAAAGAGACATAAAAAGAAAAGTTTTTGGGTAGGTCAGAAATACTACAGAAACTGAATAAAGTAATCCAATGTAAAACAACACTGGATACTCTTTTAGTCCTGACTGAATTAAATACATAGGCTGTTAATGCTGATTCCTTACAATTAATGCTATATTATGTTGTTTTGACAACAAAATTAATGACAGACACATATGGCTGCGTTCACTTTAAGAACTAGTGTACGGATCCATAACTGTTTCATTATACTGTCTGTCACACGCGTCTTATGCATATTTAAGACATAACCGACTGTCTTTACGAGGTTACTCACCAAGACCAGAGTTTTGACATCATTTTGTGTGTTTTTAACTGTTAAAGCGATATAATCCACGAAAAATAACTTTTGTTACTGGCGAGCTGTTTGTGAGGCGGATTTAGGCTTTACTGTATGAGCACGCAGTGAAAAACACTCGCGAGTGCGCGAGCACAGGATAGTTTAAAATTGCTTGAATGTTTAAACTGGTAAAACTTAAAAAAGACGTGAAAATGATACGTTAGTTACGATGCACTGCTGGCCCGATTGTGCAAGTGAATCATGTCCCGACTCCTAAACACGAGTGTGTATCGACGCCTGCAGCGCTTGACGCTTGCCTTGTGCAGAGTGAGAAGACGCAGCACCGCGAGCCCTGAATATGGAAAAAATCGATTCGTGGCCATTGAGAATCGATTTTGAATCGACCACATTTAAAAAAATGATTAATCGAAAAATCGATTTTTTTTGCCCAGCCCTAGTTTTGTCTGAGATCCACCGGCCTTGTTTCTTTTTGGGAGATTTCCTGAGAACTGCTCGGGAAGATCTCCTGGCCTTAAAGCATTTGGAGGACGTCTGCTGAGATCTGTCTGTTATTACTGCTGCGCCGTAGGACAGTTTAGGGAAGCAAGTGAGTTAGTAAGCAAGTAAGTTTGAGTATAGGTAGGGAACTGTAGTCGACTGGAGACTCGCAGGAGTATAGACACAGCCGATGTCGACGAGTAGACGCGCTAGGGTATAAATATTATAGTGCAACCATAATCCATAAAAACCATAAGTACTCTCTCAGAAAGTGCAAACAGAGACCAGATCCACAAGCACACAGTCCAGAGATAGGCTATTGCATGCAGCATAATTTTGCGCGCATCAGTTTTACTTTCACTTTCGGATTCGCGATTGCAGGTACTCGATGCGATCGGTGACCTGTGGTTCCTGCTGCGCTGTGTGCGACTCCAGCTCATGCTGGATGAGCAGAGCAGATGTTTACCATAGTTTACAATGGTCTTTATTTGTAATCAAAGCGTCAGTGTAATGTGAATGTAGCGGTGGCATAATCGATGCTAATTTCACCCTCGCGCTCCGTCATGGCGATATCGCGAATCAGCTTTTCACTCTCGTCGCGTTTGGTCTCGCGAGATCTTGTCTCACCCCTACTAATCTCACAGTTGCACTCATTCTAGCCGTTTCAAGGAGTGAATCGGCCGCTGTGTCTGTGGTCATTGTCCCGGCTCTCTCTCTGCTTCAGGGATGGAGTACTCGCCCCTGCAGGGCCGCGCCGGGTCGATTCAAGCCGCCCTCTCGCTGGAGCTCAGCAGTGACGTCATCACCAGCCTGGACCTGGTCCTGGAGGGGCTCAACGGGCAGCTGCCCAACCTGGACCTGGCCAACCTCTTCTACGCCTTCTGCCAGAAGCTGGGAGTGCTCTGCACCATCCAGGGGAAGGTGGGACACACTGGGGAAGCCCACGTCTTCCATTACACTGTCACTATGTTAGATAGAACTTATATTCATAATTAAGGATGTGGCGTTACAATGTTAAGGCTAGATGCTTAGCAATCGTGTGCCTCATATCCACGTGCTTTGGAGAGTTACAGAAACGCTGCGTGTTGGAGGCTATAAACAGTAGAAGCCGTGTCCCAAACACACAATTATAATGATGTTCTCATAAGTGTATGTACCCTATATGACAGCAAATGTTTCCCTTAACTGTATTTTCTTTTTTGAAGTGATTTCAATCATATTTCAACCAATTTAAACCCATCATGTTGAACAGTGCGCATCTGAAGTGTCTCAGCTGGAGGAAATAATACATTATTTATCTTTAATATATCGGCCAAATTTGATCAGGCCCATAAATATAACATTAAAGATGAACATATATCAGCCGATAACAATATGGTGGCCGAAATATCGTGCATCCCTAGTTATATGTGTTGTAAACGGTTAGCTAGCAATAGGACGCTTGTATATGCTAATACACTATGTACTCAACCGTGTAGTGTATGAACTTTATACGTTTATTTTGTCTTTCAACATCGGAGTCTGATGCCCCTCCCCCTCCATACGTAATTAAAGCTGTGACTGTGTCTAATGTTCCACACGTCGTTTTTTTTCCGGTTAAATAAGTGCATCATCCGGGTATTTAAAGAGCACTTTTTCTTTTGGGATTTGAACGCACCACTCGCACTATTTATACTATAAAATGGCGTAGAATAGTGAACAGGTATGTGATTTGGGACGCACCTTATCACTATACACTGCCCTGAAACGGTTAAGGTTTTACAGCCCATCTTTAACCCGACCACAGGCTCTACTCTACAAAAATCACTCTGCCTATGTTAATCTCGTGTAAAAACACACAACATAACACATATTGCTGAACACGTCAGGATCGCTGTTGCTCGTGTCTCCACAGCTCCAGAGGAACGACTGGGACACGGCGGAGGGCTACACGCACGCGGCTCAGACCATGATGCTGATGGTGCTGAAGCAGGCGTGTGGACGCTCGTGGGGCGATCACGGCCTCTTCCTGCGATACCACATCGAAGCCGCCTCTATCCGGGGCATCAACAGTTTCAGACACTACAAGATGGATGCCACCACCATTGGCAGGTTGGGAAATTCGGGCTCATATAAGTCGAATAATGACGACTAATAATTACAGATCAAATATTTGAATTGCACACCCCTAGTTTGTATTACACAAGAAATTCGCAATAGAGGGTATGCGCATGACGTCACCGTCGGCCGGAGTGAATGCGGTCACGCCCACAAGTGGCAAAAAGACTGAGCAGCAGCATTTGTTTTCAGCGTGAATGCCGTGAAAATCACACAAAACACATCTAAAACGGGAAAGAGCTTTGCGATTGACTGTACAACTAGATTTGACCAGAAATCTGAGGTACTGTATATTTTTACAGACTGCAAAAAGCTACAGAACAGACTATATTCTGCATAATTGGATGTTTTTAAATAAACACTGACAAAAAACTATACAAGTTTTAGGGCTGGACGATATGATGATATACAGTATAACATTAATGTAAGTGATCACACGGATTTAGACCTATCTATATTGTATTTATATAAAACGTTTACAGGCAAAATGTCTTCATTTATTTCCCCGGCGTCGAAATCAGGCACATATAAATGTCAGGAAACACGATTCCTGGCTGCATGTCAATATCCATGGATCACTGGATCTTTGATAAGTTGTAAGGAACACTATATCGAGTCCAACTTTTAGTTTAAACTGATAATAGTTTGTTTTACTCGCGTTAATGCAGTTTCCCCTATTAACTCCAGTCACGCAGCAGCTCTTCTGCCACTCAGTCCGGCTGAGGGGGGCGTGTTCCGGCGGGGAAGTGACGTAAATGCATTCCCTCTATTGATGTCACAACCGTTTTACCTTTGAGAGCCATGGCCCATGCTAAGCAGTCAAACACGGTTTTATGGCAATTGTTCTTACTTTAGGATCAGGGTTGAAGCCAGTATTGGGGAAATCAGATAAATTGACCATCCATCCTGATCTGTTGTTCTTCTCTTTCACCTCCTCAGATTGTTGGAGGGAATGGCCCGTAAACTGAACAATCTCCTGGAGCGTCTTCATCAGTCATATTTCTTCTACCTCTTGCCTTCTCTCTCTCGGTTTGTGTCCATTGGCTACTATATGCCGGCGTTTGGCCTCCTGGCTGTCATCTTACTGCTTCGAGTATCCTTTTTTTAAGTCTGTGTGCTTGCTTTTAACCGTCTGTAAGGTCTGGGTCCAGTTATTATGATGAATAACCAAAACAGCCTTAAACGCCAAACAGCCTTAAATCCCTTCGACAGCAGCAACTAAGGGTACTTTTACACGACAACGATATGCTTAAAACGGATAAGTTTTTCCTTTGAGTTTTCCACGTAGAGACGACACCATTGTCAAAAAGGGCTAAAAACGCTGTATTCTGCTGCCCGGACAATAGATGGCGATGAAACACTATAGACTGAACACGTCATACGCATGTGCATGACGTCATCGTCTACAGAGATTCACGATTTTGCTGTTCACACGGAGACCATTTTCAAAAAATTGCACTTTGAAACCCGTTTTCAAAAGTTTGCGTTTTCAGGCTCCCAAAACGGCGTTGTCGTGTAAACGAACGGCCAAAACACATAAAAAGTTTTACGTTTTTAGTAGGGATGTCCCGATCAGGTTTTTTTGCCCTCGAGTCCGAGTCATTTGATTTTGAGTATCTACCGATACCGAGTCCCGATCCGATACTTATATAATACATAAAAAAAGAATAAAGAAGAGAGAAAAAACAGATCCAGGATGTTCCTTATTTTTTATTTAATTCACCTTATTTTAACATTCAACAACTCTGTTAACAAACAGCTTGAACAATCAAGTAATAAAATCTTCACTTTTGGACTTTAGTGCAACAGTTAATATAGAAAAAGTCTAATATAAAAACAAATAGCACCTCAACTTAAAATACCCAGCAGGCATGTAAACAAAAAATAAAAATGTTTTAAAAGTGTATAAAAAAAATAATGAGAATATACACTCACCGGCCACTTTATTAGGTACACCTGTCCAACTGCTCGTTAACACTTAATTTCTAAGCAGCCAATCACATGGCGGCAACTCAGTGCATTTAGGCATGTAGACATGGTCAAGACAATCTCCTGCAGTTCAAACCGAGCATCAGTATGGGGAAGAAAGTTGATTTGAGTGACTTTGAACGTGGCATGATTGTTGGTGCCAGAAGGGCTGGTCTGAGTATTTCAGAAACTGCTAATCTACTGGGATTTTCACGCACAACCATCTCTAGGGTTTACAGAGAATGGTCCGAAAAAGAAAAAACATCCAGTGAGCGGCAGTTCTGTGGGCGTAAATGCCTTGTTGATGCCAGAGGTCAGAGGAGAATGGGCCGACTGATTCAAGCTGATAGAAGAGCAACTTTGACTGAAATAACCACTCGTTACAACCGAGGTATGCAGCAAAGCATTTGTGAAGCCACAACACACACAACCTTGAGGCGGATGGGCTACAACAGCAGAAGACCCCACCGGGTACCACTCATCTCCACTACAAATAGGAAAAAGAGGCTACAATTTGCAAGAGCTCATCAAAATTGGACAGTTGAAGACTGGAAAAATGTTGCCTGGTCTGATGAGTCTCGATTTCTGTTGAGACATTCAGATGGTAGAGTCAGAATTTAGCATAAACAGAATGAGAACATGAATCCATCATGCCTTGTTACCACTGTGCAGGCTGGTGGTGGTGGTGTAATGGTGTGGGGGATGTTTTTTTGGCACACTTTAGGCCCCTTAGTGCCAATTGGGCATCGTTTAAATGCCACGGCCTACCTGAGCATTGTTTCTGACCATGTCCATCCCTTTATGGCCACCATGTACCCATCCTCTGATGGCTACTTCCAGCAGGATAATGCGCCATGTCATAAAGCTGGAATCATCTCAGACTGGTTTCTTGAACATGACAATGAGTTCGCTGTACTCAAATGGCCTCCACAGTCACCAGATCTCAATCCAATAGAGCATCTTTGGGATGTGGTGGAACGGGAGATTCGCATCATGGATGTGCAGCCGACAAATCTGCGGCAACTGTGTGATGCCATCATGTCAATATGGACCAAACTCCCTGAGGAATGCTTCCAGCACCTTGTTGAATCTATGCCACGAAGAATTGAGGCAGTTCTGAAGGCAAAAGGGGGTCCAACCCGTTACTAGCATGGGGTACCTAATAAAGTGGCCGGTGAGTGTATATATATATATATATATATACATTAAGGGTGTAACAGTTCACAAAATGTGCGGTTCTGTTCGATACGATACAGCAAAAAGAAAGAAATGCAAGAGAAATTTCCTATTTATTAAAAGAAAACTATTTTTAAATAAGTTTGAGTTTTCCTACATCTTGAAACTTTCAGGTTTAAAAATGTGGGTAATCTTTGAAGGATGAACAAATAATGTTTTGGTAATCATTAATTAAATATAATTAAATATATATTTATATAATATTTGAGTTTTGATGTGCAACATTAAATCCATGTTCACAATGTTCCTCCTGGTGTCCACGTCAGCGCTGTTTGATCTAATAGAGATCTACGGTTAATAACGGAGAAATGTGAACGCTTCTCACTAAATCTCGCAGCGATGTTATTACTTCAGTGGCGGATTCAAATGTTTTCTTCACTGGATCTCTTAGCAGTGTCGCTTGATCTCGCGCTGCACAGATGCTGCTGGTCCGAACTGATAAATGGTCCGTTAAGCACAATATGATGACTAGCGCAGCTTCGTTCCGCTTTCATTACGTTTGCCATTTGATGATGCGCAACGTTGTGGTGATCGCGCCAGCGCGGATTTTGTCTGCAGGAAAAATGGTCCAAGGAATCGTTTGGTTTGTATGCGTACCGAACCGGAAGCCTCGTACCAAAACGGTTCAATTATTACGAATACCGTTACACCCCTAATTTACATATATCGAGTCTGAAACCACGTGATCGGGCCCAATTTCCAATCGCGTGATCGGATCGGGACATCCCTAGTTTTTAGCATGAAAACCGTGTCGTGTGAACAGCCCTTTAGTTTTACTCATATTGTTTTCTGTGTTTCCTTTCAGTTGTCTTGGTTTCTAAATATGTTCTATGCTCGTTGTCATAGTTACTCATTGTTTGATTGATTTCCGTCACCTGCTCCTTGTTTGGTTCATCAGTTTGCTGTGTAATTATTGCCCTCGGTTTGCTCTGTTCTATGTCTGGTGTTGTTTGTGTATAGAGCACATTGTTTCATATGACACCATTGTCAAAACAATCCTCATTCACACGGATCTGACAAAAAAACGCTGTATTCTGCTGCCGGGCCACTAGATGGCGATGAAACACTGTAGACTGAACACGTCATACGCATGTGTATGACGTCATCGTCTTTCACGATGACATTCACGGTTTTGTTGTTTTCACGGAGACCGTTTTCAAAAACGCGCACTTTGCACGGTGTCATGTAAAAAGCCTCTCAAATACAGGAAAAACGGCCTGTTTTCTACTTTTCGAAGACTCCACTAAATGAACACGAGGAAGGCAAGAAACTCTTACTGATAAATGGCCATGTAAACAAACATTGAGCAATTATGATGAACGAATCATTGAATTGAATGTACAGTTCAATCAAATCAGTGCGGATATAATTAAATTTTCTCTATTAGAAGCCATTCAGAATTATCTATGCTGACCAAAATCCAGCATTTTGGTTTTGTATTTTGTCTAGTCAGTTCAATAGGAATCAACATGATTGGGCGAGGGCGAACGTTGGTCCCGCGGATTCGCCATGTTGACAATAGCTGCCTGGTTTGTAATGGACTTCAGTGTGAGCCGGCTTCATGATCCTCTACACTATTAACAATTACACAAGGGACCTTTGGAAATTTGCTTGTGTGATAATTATTGTGGTGCAACTTTTTAAGATTTTTTTCTGAACAAAGCCAATGGGGCATAATTCAGGACCGAACACTATTTTTCACCAGAATAGGATGATGTGTTTGTGCGAATCCTTAACTTGCCCTCAGGCGCTGGATCTCTGGGTTCATCTGGGAACGCCGGATCTGGCCGCGGTCGATGGAGTCAGTGAAGCAGAGCGAGTAAGTCTCCTGTTATTTTAAGGTACACAGAGTCATTTGTTTCCCACTTAGTTTTACACCTAAAGAAATTAATAGAATTTAAATGTTGATAATTGACAAATATGTTGATGAGGACAGTGGGATAAGTTTCTGCACTCTCTTAACTTCTCGAAAGTCTAAGCAAAGAAAGTAAAATTACAAGTTAAGTCACCTTTATTTATATGGCACTTTATACAATACAGATGCAGCTTTACAGTGTTAAAGAGGAAAACAATTAGTGATGCAAACTCTAAAAGACAATAGTAAATAGTCATTATTCTGGTGAAATCAGTGTTGATTCAGTTTGGTTCAATAACTGTAAAGTTCATTCATCTATTCATCATCAATAACAAGAAAGCATCTATATCATACGAATATGACTTCTCAAAATCTTGATGAAATCTTGTTTTTAGCGTCTGCAATCTTTCATATTTGTAGACAAACTGAATAATATCTCCTCTTGTTGATCACTTCAGTACAGTAGGTCTCTTCTGTCTTTTGGGCTTGAGAATCACGCATTGCTGAAATAACTCAGGCTATACATGAGATATTATTTGCACAAATCTGTATTAATTGTAAATGCATCAGTCTCTAGAAGTACAACATGAGAGAATACAAAAATCCAGTCTACATTATTTTTATACATTACATATGATGCTCTTCTAAAACGTTGCCAAGATCTTACACAGTAAATAATAATGTATAATGTTTATGTAATAAAGCCTATGGCATTAATACAAAAATAATGATGACCGTTTGAAAAAAGAAGGTTTGGATTGGAGTATGTGTTGGTGACACGGTTATTATCGTTAACTTTTTTGAAATAAAATATAAATTCAATATAAAATAAATTATAAATATTAGTTCTAAAACTTTAAACGAAAATTAGAAATGTTGTCTTGGCAATAAACTGAGTTCAAGTTCAAACTTATCACATAGAAATAAATTAAATAAAAATAAATTAAAGCTAAATGGCAATATTACAAAAAAACGAATAAAATGACAAAAGCTCATAACGAAATTACTACGAATTAAACTAAAATTAACATGAAAGCTAAAAATGTAACAATAAAAACTAATTCAAAATCTTAATAAAACTAAAATAACACTGGTCGGTGAGGAGTTTACAGTCAAGTTTCTTACACTGAGGTCTCGCTCCATTTTTCACGATCCAGTCAGTTCCAGATGAATACAATTCTGCCTCGGCTTTTAGTTTTTCTCATTCTGCTTCACTACAATTGTTACATGCCAAAACAGCAACATAGAGTCGGCCCAGATCCGGCCCACATCTGGCACACGTGGATCCACACATCCCGGATCTGGGCCGACACGGTCACTGTCTGGGTGTTGACTTTCACTTTTAATGTTTAATGTGTCAGTGATGGATTCCCAGTTGCTCGTAGCGAGACGCTTGTTTCCTGTGTTTCTCTTTAGCCGCCGGGTCCGGGCGTGTTGTCAGTGTTGACCCCAGTGGTGATAAGTCACCTGACCGGTGTGGCGCTGTACCTGCTACCTGTTCATCTGCAGGAGATCGCTGTCGAGCACTTCCCTGTGTCTGAGACCGAAGCTGTGGTGCTCACTGCTATTGCCATCTATACCGCAGGCCTAGCCCTGCCACACAACACACAACGGTACACACACTGACTCCTCTTAAAGCCCGAAGTACACTGCACTGTCCGCGTGACCTAGTTTCCGCCATCAGGAGGGTCCACATGGATGGACGTTTGACTGACATGTAACAGCCAATCACAGTTAGTTTTGTTCTGCATCATGTTTAAATTATTCATTCAAGAACGTCGTGCTAGTTTCCTGCAACAATGGAGCCGTGAACTTCACATACGTTTGAAAATCCAGCGTTTAGTTGATCCTGGTAAGCGCTCATTGTCACGGTTGTAAACACAACGGCTTTCTTCTTCCACGAGGGGTTTTGGCGTCACAGCATTTGTTTCCAGGCGGACCGGTAAAGAACGCGACACGCACGTCTCCCGGACTTCCTGTAGAGTTCAACCAATCAGATCGCGCCTTCGAAACTCCTGAAGTGTTTCCAGAAAAGTGTACCGTGTGCATCAGACGTTCAGCCAACGGTTCGTGACGTCTGAGACTACGTTTGTGATAGACACTGTTTTGATAGCATGTTTTCAAACTGTTTTATACAAATTCCTCAAGATATAGTCCTAAATGTAAAGTTTTAGGGTGTGTTCACACTTGAAGTTCAGTTCGCTTGGTTCAAAAGTAGTCCCGGTGCGCTTAGCGTTCACATATAGCGGCATAATCTGAAAGCGACCGTCAACCCTCTCCATTGACTTTGTATTGCGAGAAGCTGCCTCCTTGTCTCTTCTTACTTATAACAAAATGTCTAAAAGCTGCTGTGTGACGGGGTGTACAGCAAACAAGCTAAAAAACCCAGAACTAAATTTTTATAAGCTGTCGACCCAAAAACCGAGCGTTTATGGACACTAAAGTGGAGCGCAACGTGTCATATTACTCTGAGAACTAACTCACGCACCCTGGAGGGGATCGTAATCGGCGACAGGATAGCTTAGCTTACAGAAATATAATATATATAAAACTGACATTTGGATGTTTGACCTACCAGTGACAATGTTTACTGCAAGTGTGGTGTATTTTTAGTGCACACTGAGTGTCAGGATCCCACAATTAACCTATTCTCCCTGCTGATGCTTCACGTCTTACTGCCTGTATCCACTTTTGTGTCCTTAAAGGCTCGTTTTTACGGTTCGGTAGCTTATAAAAACTTAGTTCTGAGTTATTTTAGCTTGTTTGCTGTACACCCTGTCATACAGCAGCTCTCTCTCTATACAAAACAACACAAAGCAGCGGATCATTCTCCATCGTTTTTGTTTCGGTTCTTGTTCTAAACGTTGGATGTAATGGCGGATCCGCTACTTTTCTTCTTCTATGCTTGCGGTCCTGTAAGTGATGTGACTCAGTGCTGGCGTCTGGTAGAGTACAGAAAATAAATATAACTGCACATGTGTTGAACTCATCCATCCACGGTTGAGTATACTTTGAAAGCTGAGCGAAGCACGGAAAATGAAGTATACCCGGGCCTTAATGCTCTCTCCACTGTGCCAGATGTTTATTCCCCAACCCTGATGGTGTGTTTTCTTGTGTCTGACAGGTTGTTGTCTGGAGAGGGAACCGAGCAGGGCTGGAAAGTGCTGAAACTGACCGCTTTGCTCTATCTAGCAGCGCTGTTGGGCTGCACGGCCCTCATCAACTTCTCTCTGGGCTTCATCTTGGCTGTCACACTGGTGCCCATCACCGCCAGCATCACGCCACACATGCCCAAGTACAAAACAGTTTCAGCAAACACTCTTTTATATTTGTCAAGAATGCTCTGAAGATAATCTGAAGCAATTTAGGTGAAATCTGACGGAATTTGTTGAAATGACGGTATAAGCAAATCTTTTTTTGCTTAGATTAAGACCCACTGGCCATTATAATGAACATCAAATTGAAAAACATTCCCTTGTTATATAGAGCCTAAAATCAACACTCGCCAAACGCAAGTAAAATTCGGCATTGAAGGCGAGTATATGAAACGGCTTATAACAGATTGTGTTTAATTAGTTAGGCTAGTAGTTTTTGGATCAAAATATCTGAAAACCCCTAGAACAATGTTATATATTTTGTTGTGTTGTCAAATGTTTCTAAGAATGTTTAAATCCAGAGAAATAAGCAGTTTTAACCAGTTTAACGTGCGTCGTCTATCACTAGGCGCGTTTCCTTTACAGATTTGCACAAAACTTTTGCAAGTCTAAATATTGTAAAGCATACAAATACCATAATGATATTTAGGAAACATGCTGAGTTCACATACTCGTTTCTCTGAAAAACTCTTCGACAGCCCGTTATGTTACTCTGAAATGTGCGTTCCGTGTCGTAAAGTCTGTTTTTGATTTGGTCTGTGTGATCTCGCTCACTGCCAGTTCACCCAATAGTATTTCCACACCCCGGGTTGCCAGCAGAAACACAGCGTATTGCAGCCAGCAAACAAACCGGGTCAGAGATCGCAGATTCTAACCAACATAAAAAGCCTCGGTATCCATCTGAAAATCTCTATGAACGAGAGCGGATAAATCAACTCATTAACTTAGTCTGTAAGTGTCCTTGGCTTTCATTGTCAATTGCGCTCGTTCCTGTTGCGTGTCTCAATCTTGCAACCCGTGTGAGCGTCGAGTTTGAGGAGGCGGGGAAACGACTCTCTCCGATATCTTGAATTTGGACTGCAGTACCGATTTCCACCACTAGCTGTCAGTCTCACAGACTGCAGTATTAACGTTACATGTTGATTTCATTGCCTCATCAGTCTGTGGTCAGCGATACCGATAACTGCTGAAAATACTCTACAAGTTTAGAGGCTGTTTACACGACACCGTCTACTAAAAGCGTAAAACTTTAAATGCGTTTTGGCCGTTCGTTTACACGACAACACTGTTTTGGGAGCCTGAAAACGCAAAGTTTTTAAAACGGGTTTCAAAGTGCAAGTTTTTGAAAACGGTCTCCGTGTAAACCACAAAAACGTGAATCTGTGAAGATGATGATGTCATGCACATGCGTATCACGTGTTCAGTCTATAGACCTTATGTGGCCCCGCCCCTTTTCAGCGCTGCGCTCGTTGTCTTTTATCTTCCGGTCTGTATTTTCACAGCGATCTTGCGTATTTATGAATGAACGGCTCGTTTTAAAATCTTCCCGGTCGACTGACATTTGTTAAGACATCTGCTTTAAACAGTACAATCCTCGTGAAAACTTTCGTTAACTTTTACATTAAGTAAATCCACTTCAAAAGCTAATTACTCCTGGACAGCGATGCCATAGAGCGACCGCAAAAACGGACGTTCAAAGACAATATTCTAAAGATGGCTGCGCCCTCGTTTCTCTGGCGTATAAGGTCTGTAGTGTGACGAGCCCAAGGGGGTAATCCATCGACCGGAAGTTGAAGCTGGCCGGGTGCCGCCATCTTGTAGCAGAACTTCACTTGCGTTAGCATTTCCATTGACTCCCATTCATTTTGGCGTCACTTTGACAGCGAATAACTTTACATCTGAGGCGTTTAAAGACTCCATTTGTCCATTATTTATTTCTAAAGAAACACGACAATGTATAAAGGGCTCCATTACCTTCTATGTTACATTATGGCCCCGTAGAAACAGATTTAGTAAAAATAGGCTAACGATTGCGTCATAACCACTCGACTCTCTGTCGCGCTGTACAGAAATTACCGTACAGACAGGAGGAGAAGCTCGCAGGCAATCGGGGGGACGTCCCGTCAAGGGAGAAGCCCATAGATAATGAGTCCATAAAAGCAACGGAATACTTACTCCTGCTCACTCACGCCAAAGAACTCTTTGCTCAAGTTCCCCGTCTCTGCAAGATTAACGTTGGCAATTTTCACGCACAGCTACTAGAAGATTAACGTCTGTCAGACAGGTTGCTCACGTCATCAAGCTTAGTTTGAGTCGGTTTGAGTCTGCGCGTCAGGAACGGAAGTGCTCAGAAATCGCTAAAAATGGGCTTCAACTGTCTCAACTGAGTTCCAATGAGATGGCTCTGTCCACTTCTTATACTGTCTATGGTGAAGACGATGACGTCATGTTCATGCGTATGACGTGTTCAGTCTATAGTGTTTCATCGCCATCTAGTGGCCTGGCAGCAGAATACAGCGTTTTTAGCCGTTATCGCGGATCCGTGTGAATGAGGATTCACTGTACGCGGAAAACTCAAAGGAAAAACATCTCCGTTTTAAGCATATCGTGTTAAGATATAACCAAATTCTACATCTCGAATGTGCTATTGAGTGTTTCCTGTGTTCCTGGTCCTGTGCCTGTTGTCCTCTAATGCTGTGTTTGGTGTGTGTAGAGCTCTGAGTGCTGTGGTGATGGTGCTGCTCAGTCCTGCCTTCACCATCCTCTACTGCGTCTTCATCTACCAGGAGCTCATCGAGGAGCCCGTCAGCATCAACGAGGGCTGGATGCTGTTCCTCTCGGTCATCTCGCAGGGCATTCTGGACCACGCGCTGTACGGCTCGCTCGTGTACCCGCTGCTGGCCCTGTTCGTGTACCCCTGCTGGCTGATGTTCTGGAACATCCTCTTCTGGAAGTAACCAGCTTGTGCTGGAGCGGTTTCAGAACAATCACACGTTGTGCCAATCGCAAGGATTCGCTGTCCGTCTGTGGGCATTGTCTGCTGTCATTGGTTGGCGGGAGGAAGATCTAGGCGGATGTCAGGCGCTGAGAAAGTACGAATAAAGAGTTTAATGGTGTGACTTCAACGGTGAGAGTTCTTTGGTTCAAGTATTGAGTGTGTTTGGGGGAATATAGGGATTTATTTCTTGCCCAACGTTGTAAACCAATTCACAAAATATGGCATGAAGACATAAGTAGGACAGAATGAATGAAGCAAATGCAGAAACATTGCAATATTGTACTAGATGAGTGGACATATTGGTTAATTAATTATCTCGGTAACACTTTTTTTTTACAGTGTCCTTGTTACATATGTTACCGTAGTAATAACAGTAAATTATGCATAATTACATGCATCTGACACTCAACCAAACCCTAATCTTACAGTAAGTACATGTAGTTAATTAATATTACTCAGTACTAATATATAATTACACTGTAACAATGACATCTTAAAATAAAGTGTAACCCACTTTACAATAAGGTTCATTAGGTAACATTAGATAATGTGTGAACTAACCATGAGCAATACATGTTACATTATTAGTTAATCTTTGTTAATAAATCCAGCTGTTCATTGTTAGGTCATGTTAGTTCACAGTGCACTAACTAATGTTAACAAGATTTTAATAACGTATTAGTAAATGTTGAAATTAACAAAGATTAATAAATGCTGTAGAAGTATTGTTCATTATTAGCTAATATTAACTAATGAACCTTATTGTAAAGTGTTAGCATTATCTCATTATAGAAAAGGTTTTACATAGTTTTGAACTCATGGGTGCTGGAATCTTCTTATTACTATGATATGATACTCATAAAGTTTGCAACAGGATTGTGACCCTCGTCTTTAATGCATTACGAGTTTATTTCATGTGTGCCAGGAAACTCTGTCTTCATATCCTCCAGTAAATTATGCACATGGCATGGATCTTTTTTGATTATTAAAGTTGAATAAAATTACTTTAAACAAAATGTCAGAGTGACTGCATCCTAATTATTTGTTCATTTATATATAAATCAAGTTTCCCATGTCTCAAGTGGTAATATTAATAAAACAACCGTTTGAATTGAGAAAAATCAGAAAGCATTCATTGGATTAAGTTGTGATTTCAATAAACTGATGTGATGAATATGAACAGCTTTGTGACGCATAGGACGGATGGGAGATATTCTGAATTCTGGCAGTAGTTGTGTTACGAGGTGTCAGGTGGAAATATTAGCACAAACAATAAAAACATTTGGATCAATAACTGATCAAATCCAGCAGATGTTTAACGAGATGTTACTCTCTTGGCCGTAAATAATACCGCAATACTGATCCAAGACCTTTTTAAGAGCATGTAATAGTAGTTAGCATGATTAATATCTGCAGTTTATGAGCATAAACTAACATCATTGTGTGTGATACAATTAAGACTTTATTAACTACACTAAACACTTAAACTATTCTAACATACACACATTAACTCTCGTACAGTACTAAACTGTACGCACAGTATAAGTTAAAGCAGTATAATGAATAAAAGCTTTAGTTAATGTTTTATTAGTGCCTTTAAATAACACAAACACAGATGTAAAATCAGGGAACACGAAGTGAACAGTTAGTCAGACGGAGATCATGTAACATACAAGACAAGCCGAAAAATGTATAATAATCAGTTAATGAAACATATTGTAAATTACTGAGTTTTGAGTTCAGTCTTAAAGGTGTGGATTGAGGAGACAGTGTTAAGGTTTTGGGGAAACTCAGGGCTCGACTTTAAGCCTTGGACATGTGAATGACCGATTTACAAGCTCATGACGAGTAAAACAAGTTGCTTTTCTGGAATAAAAAAAAAAAAAAAAAAAAAAGTGAATTTTCCCCCCCTAATCTGATTAAATTAAAGAATTTAAAATGAGAGATGAAGCATACATTTAATCAAATTCAATTACAATAATAAGACACCAGAGGACTTTTACCAATCAAATTAAATAATTTAGACTGAAAAATTACCTGCATTGAATAATGTTGTGAGATTTTTTTTAAATATATACAAAAATATATTGAATATACAAATAAGAAAAGTTGGAAAGAATGATTGCCTACTATTAAACATGAGATTAAACCGCCAGTAGGTGGAGTTGTCTTAATGAGAGGGTCATTTAAACTAGGGATGCACCAAAATTAAAATTTTGGGCCAAAACCAAAACTTATGAATAAATCAAAACGGACTGAGTCCAGAGTCTGTCAAATTCAGAGTCTGTCATTTATAAAATATAATAATTTATAAAATACAAGCCAAAAAATTAAATAACCACTTTTATTTAAAGTAACACACCAAAATTGGACAGAAAATGTTAAAATAATATTAAATACCAATATATGAATATCAATATATCAATATATTATCCTTCATTTGGTTCTATGCAGCAGAATCAGATTTAACAGATTTATTTTTTGACCTTTTATCAAAATATAGTCCTACAAAGCTATTATTATGAGAGGAGCAGATATCAGGTAGAGGACCAGTGAACAAGAGGGAGGCGTCATCTTACCAGCGTCGCCCAGTATGGCGGGTGGATAGTGCCATTAGACTACCCTGAAGAAGGAAAAGGAGCAGCTGTTTTCTATGTGAATATATAGTAAAGTGTAATTTATTCCTGTGATCAAAGCTGAATTTTCAGCATCATTACTCCAGTCTTCAGTGTCACATGATCCTTCAGAAATCACTCTAATATGATGATTTAGTGCTCAAGAAACATTTATGATTATTATCAGTGTTGAAAACAATTTTGTACAATCGCACTTAAAAAGGCTGGTCTGTGGTACGGTTTATGTGAACTCCAGTACGGTTCAATTCAAATTTATTTGTATAGCGCTTTTCACAATACATATTGTTTCAAAGCAGCTTTACAGAAAGTGCATTTCAGAAATGTACATAGAAATATACAGTTATTTAATCATGTATTAATTTAGGGCATAACATATCGCCGGTTCGCTGCAGATATGAACGCAATTGTACCAAATCGCCGAAGTGAACCGCTATTGATGAAGTATAATGTATAATGTGGTCGACAGGACAGTCATCAGTGCGTGTGTGTGTGTGTGTGTGTGTGTGTACACTCACCTTGACTTTTGCGGCAGACAGACGCAAGTGTGTTTCCGTTTCTTTTCTTTGAAAACAAAACCAAAGGTTAAAAAAAAGAACCTTTACATTTAGATGGACTTAATGTCTTGCATTTAGCTTCATTAAACCTTTCATTACAGTGGTCACTATAGTAAATGTCCACCATAACTACATCTGGTATCATTATATCACTGCATGGTTAATGTAAATGTATTTTATAGAAGCATTTTCTTGCTGACATTTATAATCTAACTATTTTAAGTTTCCTTTAATTCTATATCATTGTGATTATTGTTCACTTTTATTGAAACTAAATGAAAGTTGAGAATAATGTCGTGCTTAAGGTTTTGCCTTGTTCTTTAAAGGGAGGAAGAAACAAATATATTTCCACATAAAGTTGAATGTCATCTCTTGTTTTGTAAGAAATATTATTACTTCATCATAGTGATTTTTTTTTAACGTTACTGTGTCACTATAATAGATTGCCTCTGTATATGGCTATATTTTTATATAATTAACTGATTTTTACACATTTGTCTTTAAACAGTTTGACATTAAATATTGGAACATGCTTTCAAAATTGTGTGCATTCATTATGACAGCGATATGTGGGTAATGTAGTTTAAAACGTTTAGCAATGAAACAATACATGTTAAATAAATAATATATTTAATGGACGACTGGATATCTAAATATGTTCATTGTGCAAACCTTTATGACATATATGATCGACAGCCTGAAATTTGATATTTTACTGTGAGCACTTTAAAAAAAAAAACCTTTATGCCAGCTTTCCATATATGTCTGAAAACTGCCCAACATTGTTTAGTAAACATAGCATAAGCAGTTATCCTGCATATTTGTTCTTTGATACACTAACCAGACTTTTCCCCCCTTTTCTATTCTAACATCATGCTTGTATTAGTTTTGATGGGTATTGTGAGACCATCTGATATGAATATTTTAAAGAATGCTGTAATGTATAACAATAATTATTATTATTATTTCTTACACCAATAAATATAATGGATGAATCTGCAACAACTTGCCATTTTCCAATTTACAGTGTTGGCAGTAAACAAAAATCAATTTATATATTTACACTTCACTATTACACAAGGATAATGCACCATTCAGTAAAACAACAAACAAACAGTGCCAACATTTCCTTTTCACCCCCTCTTTTTTGCTTCTTATATGCCTGACATCAGTAATATCCATGCTTTCATTTTAAATGCAGTACTAGATGTACTACTCACACACCTTCCCTTTATTTCACTGAACACTGGCATACTTCTCACAACATCCAAGTATGTGCAACTTTTGGTGCATTTCTGTCCCAAATATCATTAACCAGATCAAAAATGTTTATGTCCTAAGTAAAAGAATCATGGTAATTAATTATATGTAGTTGTTTTTAAATTAACTAAACAATAAAATTGTATATTTGCTGTACCAAACACCACTTTGAATACACAATGGTCACCATACTTTATTACACAACACTTTATTGGAGGACACAACATAAAGTCGATAAAGTAGCATAAAGACAAATGAGATTCAAGATAAATAAAATGTGTCTACATAATAAATAAGCATCATATTAATCCATTCGCAGCTGCTGAAGCAATAAAAATGACTGCCACGTGAATCCTGTCCAGTCACCAATACAGAAAACAGATTTGATATTGTGTTGGAAAATAATGATTCATTATCACAGCTAAACAGGTTTCTTGCTCTTCCCTGTACGTTTCTATGTTCATGTTCTTCTTCCTCGTCTAAACAGTTTTTTCAGTTGTACCGAACAATACACCTGATAAACAGAGGATGTGGTCACTGATGTGGTGTAGCCTTTTCTCAACCAGAGGAAGAAGTGTCAA